GGGTGGGCCTGTTGCCCAGCCGCTGTCACCCACAGCCACTCGTGCACACACCTCCCGGGGATGCTCTGCGCATCTGGGAGCACGAGTGGGCGAAAGCTTCTCATTTTGAGAGCTAATTACCGAAAATACAGCCTTCTCCTTCCGGGAGGTCTCACTCTGCTGGTGCTTTGAGCCCCATCTTCCATTCCCCAGCCACTGTGATTTCCTCTCACTCTGAGTCGCCTTTCATAGACCATTTCCTTACACAGAGCCTAAAGTCACACTCGCTGAGGTTGGAAGAGACCTCTCAGATCATCAAGTCCAACCCTCAACCCAACCCCACCATGGCCACTAAACCGTGTCCCCAAGTGCCACATCCACACGGTTTTTGAACCCCTCCAGGGATGGGAACACCACTCAGGAGTAACACAAGGGCAACAGGCTTGGCATTAAATCTGTTTATAAAGCACATTCTGTAATTTTTATTTAATTATCAGATTAAATCAATTAAATACAGATGAGTGATTTTTGCTCCCATTTTTAATCCACAGGTTTTTAGTCTTGGAAAACTCTCAGGCTGGGTATACTTTAAATGTTAAGAGTAAAACTCTATGACTTCATAAAATAGCTTCTATTTTAGAAATGAAAACTAACAGCCCTCTCCCCAGCTCCACTGCCCTTCTCTGGCCATGCTCCAGCCCCTCAATGTCCTTCATGGAGTGAGAGGCTCAAAACTGACCCCGGTATTCGAGGGGCAGCCTCAGCAGTGCCCAGCACAGGGGCTGATCCCTGCCCTGGTCCCACTGCCCACACCAGTGCTGGGACAAGCCAGGATGCTGGTGGCCATTAGGACTTGGTAATTGACACATTACTGTCTCCTGTTCAGTCACTATCAACCAGCACCCCAAGTCCTTTTCTGCCCGGCAGCTTTCTAGCCACTCATCCCCAAGCCGGTAGCGCTGCATGGGGTTATTAAAGTTAAGCAAGAAATTGCTGGTGAGGGCTGGGGACACCCCACTTCTTTGCCGTCAGATGGGATGGAGGTGACTCAATTAGTAATCTCCAGCCCTCGCTAAATGAGCGGTTGCCGCTCGCAGGAAGGTTCATTCGCGTTGGAAGCGGCTGAGTCACTTGTGATTGCAGCAGCAGCAAACCCGGTGCTGGCGCCGGGTCAACGGGAGCGCCCGTGGCTCTAGGGCAGCCTCCAAGGAGCTTCCTTGGGGCTTTGGCACAGATAGGGAGCCCCACCGGTCCCTGTCACCCACGGCCGTGCGTGCCAGTGCTGCGACACCAAAGCCGTGTGTGCCTCAGGCAAATCTTCCCGTCCTGTCCCCATCACTGTCGCCATTGCACACCCATGTGCTGGTCCAGGTTGGGGGGCTGGAGGGTGCCAGGCTGGCCAGAATTTGCAATAAATAAATGAGATTTGGCCTCATTTGTTTTCCCCTTGCCTCTGCAGATAGGAAAGGGGGAGCTCCAGCCACCGCTGTCTGTCCCTGCTCATCCTCGCTGGAGGAAGGGCAAGACCAGCTCAGGAAGGCGGAGATGGTTTGGGCATCGCTCAACAGATCCCCACTGCCCCCTATCACCCCCCGCACCACATGGGGTGCTTTGCAAACCCTTCCCACTGCAGCGACCAAACCCACCCACCTCCAAAACTGGGCTGCTCCCCTCCAGCCACCAACTGAGGACAGGACCCTCCGGTCAATTTGCCACCAGATGGCACCAAATAGAGAGGCCTTGCGGGGACACATTGGGCGGCTCGGGGTCACTGCCGCCCCCAAACCAGACCACACCTCATCACCCCATTCCTCTGCCCCCCGCCTCCGCTGGCAGCAGCCAGAGCTGCCCATGGGACGATGCACGGGGTTATTTACACTGGGTATGGTTGTATTTGGGTTTAGCCGTGTCTGACAAGGCACCCTCCCACTGCATGTTTATGTGCTGTCAGAAAACAAAATGATTAATATTGGGTGTTTGCATTGCAGTGGAAACTACAGGGCGGTAATGAGTCTGGCCAGGTCTCAGCGGCTTTTTGTGTCAACACAACCGTGGGCTCAGCCTGGGCCGCCCTGCACCTCCGACAGCAGCGGCGGTCACTTCTAATAATGCCAAACAAGTGCTTTTAAATAGTAAAAACCGAACTATTTTATTCGCTTTTTTATTTTTAAAAGACGTATTTGATTTGCATAACAATTCTTATCGAGGTCTTTGAATGGCAAAGCAACAGCAGCGGCTCGTTCCTTGGCTTTGTGGCTCATTAGGAGAATTGTGGAGGGAGCCGCTAACGTGATCTGCTGCCTCGTTAAGAACTGTAATGACGTAGGATTCCTAAAATTAGCAACGTAAACGGTTCACCCTCCTCCTGTCCCAGTGCAAAGTGCAGCCTCCAGCCCCAGCACCCTTCAGCAAGGGCCCTTGGGGCCGTTTTCAGTCCCTGCTTTCACAATCGCCCTCACCCGAGTGCTTGCGGTGAGGAGGATTTTGGGTCCTCCAGGGGTGCAAGGCTGGATCTTTAATCCCAGGAGATTATCACGGCCACCTTCTCCATGCTTCCTGTGCTCCTCCTTCCTTCGCCACTCCTGCTGTCTTTGCTTCATCACAAAAAGCATTAAAACAGTGAAGTCTGGGCCTGAATTCCCCTTGCTAAAGGGGCTGGGGCTTCCTAGCATGGGGAATTATATATATACATATATATGGAGTTGATAATCTTAAAGGTCTTTTCCAACCAAATGATTCTATGATTTTATATATATATAAAGAGAAGACCCCAGATGAGGGTCTGGGGGTCTATAGTTGGCCCCAGGGGCAGCCCCAGCCCTGCCCAGGGATGGCAGCGATGTTGTGGTGGGTGTTTTGTGCTCGGGGAGGTGGGTGTCCTTCATGGGTTGCTCCTGTTCCTGGGGTCCACCAGCCCCTCATCTGCTCTGCTCTGGTTTGACACCAAGGTTATGGCACACAGCACCCTGGTAGCACCAAAATCACCAGTTTGGCCAAGTCCAAAACCCTCATTTGGGGCAGAAGGAGCATCACTGCCCCCACCTCATGTGCACACACATGTCCGGGTGTGTAACACACGTGTCAGGGCATGTTTGCACATGTGTACGTGTGCAGTCCCAGCATTGCAACATCTCCTTTGGGTTCTTTACCTTCCCCTAGCCCCAGGGACTGTGTGGAGAATGCAGCAACCCTCGCTGTGCCTCCTGCACCCCATCCTGGCTGCACCCCCACTTCCCAAAGCCTTCAGCCAGATGTTTTCCAAGGAGCAGGCAAGAGGACTCCGTACCTCTCCATCACATCCCCCTGAGCCCAGCTGGGGAGTCCCAGGTCCCTGACAGGGGCAGATAAAGTGGTGCTGGAGCCCGGCAGTGGCCAGGCTGGGCAGTGCCAGGCTGGGGTGTCCCCCCCCATGCTCCTCGAAACATCCAGCCCTCTGCGTGGGGAGGGGGAGCGGAGGGTGGAGCCTGCCAGATTACCAGATCCAGGAGCTGTGACATTCAGTCTGGCAGGGAGACGGAGCCCGGCGGTGCTGGGCAGGGATGGGGAGACAGCAGGGGACAGCCAGGCTTGAGGGGGCGCAGGGATGGGGTCAGGGTCATTTGAGTGGGACTGAGCAGTCACCATGCAAGGGGGTCCCAGAGGGAGCCGGGAGCAGGACAGGGCTGGGAAGGAGCAGTGAAGCGGGGTTAGGGGGAGCAAGGTGCTGGGTCGCCCCTTGGAGCTGGGGTTCTGATGTGGCCTCCCACCTGCAGGGCCACGCTGGGCTGTCCCCAACCCCTCTGAGACTGGGGGGCACCCATGGACAGAACAGCACAGGGCTGGCTCCCACCATGGGGGGCCCATGGCAGCCCTCCAGAACCCGCACACTGCTGCTCCTGGTGCTCGCGCTCCGCACACTTCAGGTAAGTGTCCCTGGGGAGGATGGGACCGCAGTGAGGAGAGGGTGGGCAATGAGCGTGACAGTTCCCTGCTGCAGTCCTGGTCAGGGGTCAGGTCTCCCCCAGCATGTCCCCATTCCTGTCCCTATCCCTTCTGCTGTCTGACCCCATCCCAGTTGTCTGGCAGGGGACGCCAAGCCGCAATCCTGCGAGCTCAGGTGCTTTCACAGCAGTTCCTGGGGAGGATGTGCTGAAATGCAGCACAGGGAGGGAGGTGGGCGATGCCGGGACCCCACTGCACTCCGCAGGGCTGGGGACACTGCGCAGGGTCCGGATGGGACAGCCAGCAATGCTCCCGTGGCGTTCAGCTCCAGAGCATCCCCAGGGAGGATGAACTCTGCTCTGCCCTGCCCCAGGGATGGTCCCCTCCATCCTCACGTGGGTCCTGGTCCTGCAGGAAGGGGCTTTGCTCACATCATTTGGTGATGGTGATGGTGTTGGGTTGACGTTGGACTTGATGATCCTGGAGGTCTCTTCCATCCTCCATGCCTCAAAGGAGCCCCAGACCCCAAAGGCTGCTGTGGGGGGCAAGGACCATGCATGGGGTGGTCCCCATCCCTGGGCAAAACCATGGGGATGGCTGGAGCTGAGCTCTCAATGAAATGGGGGAACACAGTGAGGTTGTGCTGCTGGAGCAATGAGCAGAGAGGCTGACAGCCACGCCAGCAAACCCAACCTGAGCTTGTGGGATTGCTTTGGTGGCGAGTGCCAGGAGTGGGGGGGTCCGATGGGAGAGGGTTTAGGGTCAGCATTTCTCTGCAAAGCCTTCGGGATTTCTCCTGGCACTGCTTCGCTCTGCAAGTTCTTCAGCCAACATGGGGGCTTTGGGTAATGGAAAGGAAAAGAAAAGAGGATAAAGGGAAGGGAGAAATGGGAGGGGGAAAAAGAACAGAAAAAGAAAGAGAAAGTGAAAAAGAAAGGGAAAGTGAAAAAGAAAGGGAAAGTGAAAAGGGAAAGGAAAAGGGAAAAGGGAAAAGGGAAAAGGGAAAAGGGAAAAGGGAAAAGGGAAGGAAAAGGAGAGGAAAAGGAGAAAGAAGAAAGGAAAAGGGGAAAGAGCAGAGAAAGCACACAGGACTAGGGGAGGACCAAAGGCTTTGAGGGCTTTATAAGGAGAGCAATGGCATCAGGCTCCTTGCCAGATGGGGAAACTGAGGCACAGCAAGGAGCTGCCTGTCCTGAAGGATGCTCTGAAGGGAGCACCGCACATTGCCTGCTCCAGTGCCCATTTCACAGCACCTCCCTGGAAAGCCGGGGAACAGGACAAGGGTCAACTCTGATGGCCGTTGCTGATGCCTCTGATTAAAACACCAGGCTGAACGTGAGCAAAACCCGTGTGAGCAAAACCCAGCCGGCAGGGGGAGGAGTAGACATGCCCGAATGGGTGGGTTTTTTAAGTTTTTAGTTACATGGCTTGCTTGCTCAGGCTTTGGACGTGCTCGCCTCTGCTCTGCTGATGGGGTCGGCCCCTCCGTCTTTAAGCTCAGCTCCTCTGTATGGAGCCTGCGTCTTGGCGGAGCGGTGCCCTTAAGCATCGCACGCTTTCGGAGGGAATTAGGAATAATTGCGGCGGTTCTTTATGGTGTTTACAAGGCAAGCAGTAGAAAGCTAAGGAAATGTCAGGGCTCAAAAGCACGGTTACGTAGACAGGCTCTCCTGGGGCTGGCTGCAGCAGAAATAGTGAATATTGGCTGGTACCCTGCCTGCTCGGGGCTTTTAATGCCGGGCATCCTCTGTTTGCCCTTTCCCCCTTCCCAAGGTGCAAGCGACACATCCCGACTGCTCCATTGTCCTCTATTTCCAAGAGCAAGAAGCCGAATGCCTGGAGATCATCAGGAGGGAAAGCCAAATGCCAGCCACCCCTGGACCTCATGAGGGTGAGTGCGAGCTGAGCGGGGCTCAGTTCCCTTGAGGAGCAGGGGGATTCACTGAGGGTCCCTGTGGGGGACGGTTCATGGTTCTGCATTCAGAGGATGCAGAAAAGCAGGTATTTTCAGGGCAGTGAAGAGCAGCATCCCTAGAGAGACACGAAAAATGCCACTGCTGGGAGAGAGCGGTTTGACATGGGGGGATGAGGGATGCAAGCAACCGCAGGGGCTGAGTCCTCCCAGATTTAAGACCTGTGGCAGTGATGGTGTGGTCCATGCCCCAGGCAGAGCCTCCTGCCCTGTTCCCGTCCTCCCTGCACCGATGCTCTGGGGCCAGGCAGGACCATGGGCACAGGCGATGCGGAGCCCTGGCCATCAGCACGAGCATCACACGGTGTGTATCACCACTTCATGCCTTCTTGCCTTCCTAATCCAGTTAGTTTTAATGCTAAACATGTTTTGAGCAACTTCATTTTTATGTATCCGAGACTTGTAAACCAATTAACTAATTGAAAAACAGTTTCGAAGTGCTGCTTTTGTCCATTTCTTTTTTAAATGCATTTCATTTTCCATCCAAAAGCAGCTTGGCTCAAATTCCGGGTAAAAATTATCACCTAGCGAGTAAGAAATGCGTCATTCATCTAATACAGATGTAAAAATGGAGCATCTCAATAATTGCATGTTAAGGTCCGTAATTGCTTAAGTAACTGTGCCGAGATATAACACATCATCCAGCTTAGCAGAGAAAAGCCAAGTTGATTGGAAAAGGTCCATCCTGCAGCCCAGATCGTGCCAGCCAGGGGGAAGGAATCTCATTGCAGGAAAATAACCAAGAAGCATGAATGCATAATTAAAATCGGTATTTAATCCCATGCTTCTTACTTGACTCCCGCCTCCGCTGCCCACCTGAACTGAATTTATCCTTGTCTGCTTGTGTGGAGTGGGGAGGATGCTGCTGAGAGCACGGCATGGAGTGAGGATGCCCTGGACGTGGTGGCAACTTGGCGTGAAGGAGCAGGACAGGGACCTGAGGGTGCAGCATCCTCCTGGGAAACCCTCCTGGGGCCTTAAAACCTTAAAACCATTGCAATGCTTTCCCTTCCAAGTCTGCTCCGGTGCTCGCAGCATTTACTGCTCTGAAAGAGTTGGGAAGGAATAACCTGCTGGTGTGGCTCAAATGATCTTGGAGAGGTTTCTAGATACCGATTAGAGTTCTCTAGATACCAATTAGAGGTCTCCAGATATCAGTTAGGGCAGTGAGAAACAGAGAGGACCATGGCAGGTCTGTGTATAATTGACCAGTAGAGCTGCTGAGCAGGAGCTTCCCAGCAAACTGCGTTTTGAGGGGAAAAAATGCTCTTTTTGGCCACAACATCATGAGGATAACGTTCTCAGGGATGTTTCAGCTGGGAAAACTGGAATGAAGCCGGTTGCTTTGGGTCAATCCAAACCAAACACCTCAGGCTACACTGGCTGGGAGCCCGGGGACAGGGCCAGCAAGGATGTGGTGGCTCCTGGGGACTAACGGCACGGGGACACTGAAGACACAGTCCCTGCCCGTGAGGTGGGCAATGAGACATTGCCAGGTCCTTTGCTGGTGTTTCTTCACCCTATCCCCCTCAAAAGTTGCCTCCATCACCTCTTGTCTGTGGGAGAGTTGTTCCAATTTTGCACGGCTCTAAGAAATATGTTTTATTTTTCCAAATGCTGCAGCAGCTCAGGAGAGGAGAAACAGAGTGGGAAGGGGGATTTAAACCTTTTGTCCCCATCCCAATGGAGGGGTCACTTTATTCCTGGGGACTGCACTGCAGATGTCTGTGAATCCCGGCTCCATCCCCATACCATGGGCTGCTCCTCCAGGTGGTCCCACAGCACCCACTGTGCTTGTCCATGCACTAGGAGATGTAGTTATTTATTTATACAGCAGGACGGTTCTGCCATGCAAGCACAGCCAGGTATTTTGCTCAGACCCCAAGGAACGAAGCAACCGGTCCCAATACCTGTGCTCGGTCCAGAGCAAAAATTAAGACACAACTTGGCTTGACAATGCCAGCCCTGCAAACCCCTCCACGCCCGGCCAGATACCTACAGACCACTGCTGAAATCAGAGCAAACTAATTAGGCTTGCATGAGTCCACATCCCCGGGCTGGGAATAGATGTGGCTCCAGGTTAATAACGTATATCAACAAGGTTAATAATGCAGATGTGCAAGGAGGGGAGCTGGCCTGGAGGTGCGATGTCTATGGCTCGTCCTGATGTGTTGCAGCACTTCAAGGCTCCGTGTCTGCTCGGCCATGCTCATTTCTGAGGCAATTAGAGACTCATTCAAAGACAAACTTAAAGAGAGAAGCAAAACCTCCTTAAGCTAATTGCTCTCCAGCAAGTCTTGCTGTGCTTTTGGGCTAGAGAAAGGTCCTGAGCTGAGCCACCACGCCTGCTGGGTGCCAAAACCCAACATAAACCCACATTATTGTAATGCCACCAGGAAAGTCCCAGCTCTTCCCGCACCCCCATCCCCTGGGGGCTCCCCACGGGAGCTCTGGGTCCACTGTGGCCCCAGGAAATACCAAGTCCCATCTTGCCACAGGACTAAAAGGAGAGCTCAGCGCCGGGGGGAGGTCGTTCCCAGAACTGGAGCTGGGATGCTCCTAATTCCTGAGGAGGTACGGCATGGCCCGTAGATCGGGTGACGGCCTCTGCTCTCCCGTTACAGCCCGGGGACCGGGGGGCTGCGTGTGTGTCCCCGACACGTCCCTTCCCGGTGGCACTGACTGTCCTGTCCCCCCCCCAGGCTGTTTGACCGAGTGGGATGGAGTGAGCTGCTGGTCGGCCCTGCCCGTCGGCCAGTCCCGAGCCGTTGCCTGTCCCGATGTCCTCCACATCTTCAAGAAGTCCAAAGGTGCTGTGAATCCACCCCAAACCACCCATCCCTGAGACCACCCCTGCCTGCCGGGGGTCCTCCTGCCACCCCAGCCCTTCCCCTCTGCCCCTGCAGCTCCTGTGCCATCCAAAAGCTTGGCACATATCACAACCCAAGCAGAGGACGGGCAAAAGCAGACATACAGGGTACTGCCACACCGGGGAGGTCCCCAAGCCCTTTTGTCACCCAGTACCAAGCAGGAGGATGCCTTCCCCTGTGGGCAGAGCACTTGGGGACCTCATCCTCCAACTGGGTGACACCAGGACAGTCCCCTAGCTGCTTCGTGCCCTCCTTTCCATCAGCCTAATGCTCCTGACCTGCTGGGTACCACCTCCAGTCACACAGGGGAAAAACCCAGCATAAGATCATGGTATGAATAATAATCATCAGTTTATTTCAAGATCATTTACCGCTGCTGGGGGTGCTACTGCCTCCATTCATCATGGAGGTGAGAGTGTGAAGGGGAGCACCCAACGGGCCCCCAAGGCATCCTCATCAGCTGGGTGTAATTGAAAAGGCAATGGAGGGTTGGTAAATGCTTTCTTCAGGGCAGAAACAGCTCAGGAGAAGCTTGATAAAGCCCTCACAGGTTAGAAGAGTCTCCTTTTAGGCTTAATGCCCTCCCGGCATGGGGATACATGCTTGCTTTCACATCCTGCCTTGAGATGTCCTAGGCACAGCACCGGAGGGCAGAGATGTGGTCTGGATGGGTGGCATGGGGCAGCCAGGCCATTCAGGTACCACGCTGCCCCCATTGCTGGGATGCAGGGTGCTGTCCCCAGGCTGGGCAGTTCTGGGGGTGCTGGTGCAGAGGCGATGCTGGTGGCTCTGGTGAGGTCCCTTCTTGTCGCCGCAGCGCTGATCTGGAGGAACTGCACCGCGTCGGGATGGAGCATCCCCAGCCCCCCCTACTACAACGCCTGTGAGCTGGAGGCCATTGGCCCCAACAATGACACCGAGACCAAGGTATTGGGGGTCCCCAGGGGCTGTGGGACACCCTCCTGACCACCACCCCACCCCACATTGACCCATGAAACACGAGGATGTTCTCAGTGAGCTCTGGTTTGCCTCACCCTTGTTACTGGGGGTCTGAGCTTGACTGGGATGGGGACATCACTCTGCCCCTCGCAAACCAGCACCTCCCAGCCCGTGCTGCCTCTCTCCACTGGTGCTTTCCCTTCCAGAAAGGCTATTTTGTCACCATGAAGGTGCTTTACACCTGCGGCTACTCCACCTCCCTGGCAGCCCTGTTCCTGGCCATCGGCATCTTCTCCTGCTTCAGGTAGGGCTGCAGCAGGAGGTGGCTGCTCTCAGGCTCTCCCTTCCCCAAGCAGCCATCTCCATCCCTGCCAACATGGATAACCAGG